GGTCAGTTTCAGCAGTGGCTGAATCTGGACGCCAGTTCCGACTTACATACAGATTCAACTTAAGAACAAACCTACAGTCCGTATCTTGTACGTAACCCGGGGACTGCCTGTACTTACCACTGGCAAGTTATGTCAGTTTAAAACACAGGCACTGAAAACACCAGTATCAGTGGATCCTAAATATACATGCATTTCCAATAAGATATCAAAACACATAAAAACAAGGCAAATGCCAGCATTAACAGCAGGGAAAAAGCAGTCCCCACCCAAGCAGGTTACCCTCTCTTTAATCTTACATTACAAAGCTAGGCTCCTATCCTCCTCACACCAGGGAAAAAGCAGTCCCCACCCAAGCAGGTTACCCTCTCTTTAATCTTACATTGCAAAGCTAGGCTCCCGTCCTCCTCACACACAACAAATTCCCTGGTGCTAATGCTTCTTCATTCTAACAATTCCTGTCGTCTATCACCCAAGGCAATTCTTTTCTCAGCACACAGTCCATCTCTTTCTCATTCGTCTTCCCTACTCCTTGTAAAGCCACGTAGCTTTATTTTTTAATGGAAAGTTGTTAAGCCATCTGTGCTTCTATAAAACTCTTTTTGCTCTCTAAGGTTAATTATTGGATGAGGATGACTGCTCTGGTTCTCCTGTGTCACTGCTGTTCACCAGAGTGCTGTTGTAGTTCTCTAAAATCCCAGATTATGTCATGAACCTCACAAAGTTTATTTTGCCTGTTTAGACATAATGCCAGGAAGGGCAATAAAGACATATACTTTATCGTAATGGTTTTTACTTATTCCTGTCTTACATGGAAAATTACTTGGGAGCTTAATGCAGAAGGCTTAGTTAGCAGACAAGGATGCTGCTGGAGAACATTAATGATAATACATTTTAGAAAGAGCTAGTGTAGAAGATAACATTATATTACATTAGCCATTTCCATCCATCATTGCCCTGAGGTGTTATAAATGTTCATCAAGTAAAGAGGCATGCATGTAACCCATAGGGAAAAGGGCTAGTAGCTTTAAAAATAGCAAGCAGGGTTTTATAAGAACTGACCCTGAGCACGTACTGATACATGGTGCAGGAAGAACTAACTCTGCAGAAACAGATGTTGTTTTTATTTAGTCTATATCTTGCTGAAGAGACTAGAAACTAGAGAGCCTTATACAAAAACCCACAATCCATGAAGAAGGATTAAATTCTCGTATCTGCAAGAAAATAACTGAATGCAGTGAAATTAGTCAATGTGATATACATTCAGACACTAGAGTGAAGCCAGTGAGTTCTCAGATTTTATACCAGTGGGGTTGAGGGCAGAAATCCTTTGGCTTCAACACCGATTTAACTAAACTCAGAAATTGGTCCCAAAACTTTTAGAAAGCAGTGACTTTGTTATTGGGGATCTGAAAAACTTTTCCACAGTCTTCAGAGCTGGAGGTGATGATCTTCTGAGAAATGTAGTCATTGCAGAGCACAAGGACATACAATGGCCACTAGTATATGAATAAAAGCTTCATAAGCGAACTCCCAACATGATTACATATAGCACGAGGGGAAGTATAGCTTGATGGTTGTGTACCATTGATGCAGGATGGTGGATATGAATGCAGTACACTTATAAAAATAAAAACAGATTAAGAGAGTCACTGAAAACAGTTAATACTGGCATTATGTAGGTATACTAACTGTGTCTTTGTGAAAACGTATATAGGGCTGCCTTCTCCTCTCCTGTACATTTCTATAAATCAGGAGTAACTCTACAGACTGCAATGGATATATCTACTCTTTGAGCTGATGGGTTCATGTCCAGCTCCAGAATTACATACCAGTACTAGCTCTGATTGAACCAGTATCTTAAAAACAGAAATGAGGCAGTGCAACCAGTGAGAGGTGTTAGCTGCCCCAATATGCACTTGGAATCTCTGACAGGTACATACTCTGGCTAACTAGTCCCTCCCATGCATTATATTGCCACAGTTGCACTTTTACTTTTCAAGTACTAGCTTGATCAAAACTAGTGCAGATACATTTATTTAGGCTGGGAATTACACCTCTAGGTCAGAGTGTAGTCGTACTAAATTGGATTACTGTTGTTAAACTGGTGTCGTTAAGAGTAGAATGCAACCCAGTATCAGATCTCCAGGCCAATACTTGTTTTCACTTGCAAATAATTGGATCTCTATTTCTGAACTAGCAATAAGCCTTCAAATTAAAAAACAAACAAACTATTTAAGCTCACAGAAACAGATTATGGATGTTTGCATTTCTCCAGTGTGTTATGGGATATTTACTGAGTACCACAGACTTGTACAGAAAACAGGTGATCATTTAAACTGTATTTTAAAATAATTTATTGTAGTTACCCATATATATAGCAAGACCATTTCATTACATGTTCGTGAGTACATTTTTTAGCACCATCACCAGTGCATTGCACACCAGAGATCTAAAATGGGGTGATCAATAGCAGGTTGTCCACGTATCTTTCCTAAATTTTCCATTGCTTAATAAATTGATTTGAATTATATCCCTCGGGACCATCCTACAGATTCCTATTTACCATGTCTTTGACAATCAACAGCATTTTTTCTGAAGGAATAGGGACCCTATGTAGTAGAGTGTGTTGAACTTTTTGCTATTTCAGCTTCTCATCCTAATTCAAAACAAAAGGAAATGTTAAAATACTGAGTTTCCTGTGGGACAGAAACATCATGTTTTAATCGCATAAGTCACAAGGCCTGGCTGAAGGAAGTGAACAACATGTCCAGCTGGGGGTAGCTAATGGCCTATGTAGCTAGACGGTAGACCTCTGGACCAAATATGAGCCTTAAAAGAGCTCAGTTGGAAAACTTCCTGAGGAGACGGAGAAGCTCCAGAAGAGGGAGCTTCCAGAGAGACTGAATCAAGCAAAAGCTGCCTGGGTAAGACCCTGGTAGGGTTGCCAGGTGTCCAGTATTTAACCGGACAGTCCGGTTTTTGTACCCTCTGTGCAGTAAAAAAAAAAAAAATCAGAAAATACTGGTCATGTGAAATGTCCAGTATTTTCTGCTTTTCTGGCTGGGTGCCCAAGAGAAGCCTGGTGGGGCTGCGGCTGCGATCAGTGTTGGGAGCCCTCAGCTCAGCTGG